GCAAGAGTATGCCCCCCTTGCCCCCTCTCCTCTCTTCTGCTGCGAATATTGCAGTCGAACGAATCGAGGCCGAGTGCAATGAACAGCATTCAGCACGCCAAGCCAAGAGAGAGAGAGAAATACACATACAGATACAGATACCAAGAGAGCGAGTGCGAATGCGAATGCAAATGCAGGTTCGAACAAGTTGCGAGTCTGCTCTCTCGGCCGATGTTGCAATGCGAAACCTTCGAGAAATTTTACAAGAGTCGTTGAACTCGACGGCAACTGCAACTGCAACATTAGCTGCAACATCTGCTGGCTCTCTGCTGCTGTTGCTGCTGCTGCTCTCTCTCTCGGAGAGCTGCTGGAAAACTAGTTTTTTGGCGCCGAGGCATTGAAAAAAGCGAAAGTACATTTTTTATTTCGAGCAGAAGAAAAAAAAAAAACAACAACTATAAACCCGAGAGCTTGCTCGCCAGCCAGACGAAGCTGTAGCTGGTGCTCGTTGGCTCGCTGCTGGCTCGTTGGCTACGAGGTAAATGAACCTTTTGAAGGTTCAACTTGCGTAGTAGGCAACGCCAGCAGAAGCAGCAGCAGCAGCAGAGTCTCGTGTAAAACAAGTTTGTTACGTTTGCTTTTGGCTTTTGGCGCTCTTTTCTTCGCAATTTCACCGTTAACCAGGCAGGTGAAGGCAGAGCAACAACAACACAACCACTTTATGTAACCAAAAAAAAGAAACAAAATAAGAGAAGCAAAATCAAAAGAAGCTTCCAGCCAGGCAGCTGAAAAAAACTCAAGTTGTCAAGCAGCTGCCGTTGCTGCTCTCTTTTCTTCATTCCTTTAGTTTTTTTTGTCTTGTTTTTTTTTCGGTGATGGATGACACGCGTGAAATGATTTCACTTATGGACGTTGGCGGACAAGTAAGCAAGTAATTGTATAATAAGCGAGCAAAGGAGGTAAATAATTGGGCTTGAAAGAAAGGAAGTACAAGACAAAAAAGAGATGTGAACTTAAATTAAAGTTAAAATAATATAAATATAAATATTAATAAGACCTCTATTTAGTAGCTAAGCTCAATGGCAAATCGAACAGCCTTAGGCCTCAAAATCATAGAACTTAAACCCACATCATCGTCATCATCACAGCCTCAATGTGATCATTAGCATTTTGTACTTGAAGCTGCAACGCCCCCACTCACTCACAGCCCACCCCGTCTCGAAGGCTCCTTGAACTGTGCTCCAAAGTTCTGCCCCGAAAGCAACTCCCACCGAAGGCCCAGCCCCGAAATCCACCCCTGCCCTGCCACTGAACCCCTTCCCACGACCACCGACCCCTCGACGCGGCGAGTCTCCTTGTCCGCCTTGTTCTCGCCGTCGTCGTCGTCGCTCGTTTCGTTTCGTTTCGTGTAGTGTAGCCTCCAATATTATTTTAGTCAACAGCTTTGGCATGTGTATGTGTGTGTGTGTGTGTAGCACTGGCATTTTAATGTATTTGTAATTGACCTGAATAAAGTTCAAAACACTCGCAGCGGCGAGGCAAGGCGAAATCTACATGCATGCCGTACGTTTATGTGTGTGTGTGTAGCCTCAAAATAATAATGATTGCGACAACAACAGCAGCAACAACAATGCGCCCGTCGTAGCTTATATATTTATGTGTGCCTCTCTATATATATAATGCTTGTGCCTTCGATAATTGACAATTGTTTGATTATTTTATGTGCTTTTGGGGACACCACACCAGCAGCAGCAGCAGCAGCAGCAGCAACTAATTGCTGCTGTGCATGTCTACTGCTGCTGCTGCTGCTAGTAGGTGCGGTTATCTTTTCAAGTTGTAAAACATATCTAATAGATGTAAATCTATTTAGTGTTTAAATAAAAATAATACAAGGTATTAGGAGATAGTTTATAGATAATTTTAAGGCCTAAAAATACAGATAATATGAAAAATCTAATAATTATATATTTATGAAAATTAAAAAAAGGGTTTGAAAATAGGAAATATTTTTAAAAATCTTGAAAAAACCTATGAAATTATAAATATATTTTTTTTTAATATATACCAGATCAATATTATAATTGTATTATTATATAACTAAGCTAAAAAAGCTTATAGTTAAAATTGTAATTAAAGTTGTATCTTTTAGTGCCAAAATTCTTTGAATATCTTTTTTTTTCTAGTAAAAAATAATATCTTTTACCAAAAAACATTCGAATGAACCCCAAATTTCCATATTTCTTAGTTTCCTTTCCATACTATTGACATTTCAGAACTCCAACACACCCTCTATTAGCTCCTTTTCCACCGGTTTATCTTGCGATTCCTCTACTCGTCGGCGCCTTTGGCCGCCTCGTGTTGCATATTTACTTTCAATTTGCCTCTAACCTCGCGCTAATTTAAGTTCATTTCAATTAAAAGCCAGAATGCACACACATGCATGTGCATGTGCCAGCTAATAAAGACAAGCACAGGCTGCAAATGAATTTATATAGAAAATCTACATATAGCTAGAGAAAAACCTAACGATATGCCACATTTTTTTGTTCGAATTTTTTTCCTAGTTTTTTTTTTTGTTTGCTTTTTTGTTACTTATAAATTTTCAAGCAAATCCACAAAAATCAAATGCAAAATGAGCAGTGTGAGTGTGCATTGTTCGCTGTTTACTATCACCAACACACACACACACACATACACACTCGCCACCACCTTCACTGCCGCGCTGCTGCTGGCGTCGCTGCCGCTGGTGACCCAGTTTGGTTGCACGTCAGCGGCGGTCAATGAACTGAGCTCCCCGTTTTTTTTTTCTGTTTTTTTTTTTTTTGCTTTTTGTGGGGGGCGCCGCTTGTGTCTGTTGTGTGTGCGCTAAATTTCGGTTTCGTTTTCATTTCTTGCGTTATTTTTGTGTCTTTGCAATACCAAAAAAATACAAAGAAAACAGAAAAGGAAAAACACCAACAAAATGGCGCCTATTACTATGGCAAAAGAAATTATGAAAGCAGCCGAAAAAAAACAACAACAAAAATGTAACGAAACGAGCCGAAAAAGAAAGTGTTTCGAAATGGCCGCCAATTATCTCAGTGTTTGTTTTTTTTTTTAACTAAAAGTGAAAGTAGTTTCTTTGCTTGGTTTAAACAAAATTTTGTAAAATATGATTTCGTGGCCTTTTCTAGGTCAGTCGCTCTTGTTTTATAATTGTAAATTGTTCATCAGCAGCAGCAGCAGCAGCAGCAGATCGGCCCTCGCTTGTGTTTTTTATTTTATTTATTTATTTCAGTGTGCGTTTTATTTTAATTTTCCTTGAAAGATAAGGCAAACGCTGCTGGCCGCGCTGTCGGCGTCGCTTAAATAGCACACGGTCATCTTTATTATAAACAATTCGAAATTTTTGTTGGTTTTGCTTTTGTTTCTCTCGGTTTTTTTTTTCGATTTCATTTCATTTAATTTCATTGCTGTTGCCGAGTTCGAGTTTTGCCTGTGTTTATTTGGTTGGCGGTCGAATTTTTGTTTCGGTTCACATGACTTATTTTTGGCACTAGCTTTGGGACACAGAACTAGTTCAAGGATTTGCTACATTCAACAAAAACTGTATTTGATGGCTAATAAATGATGGGATTTTAGCAACAAATGATTGGACATTATGGTAAACAAAAGCATTAAATTTTTAATATTTATAATTAGGTATAAGTGGTGTTTTTTTTGGGGAAAAAATAAGTTTACTTGAAGTCTAGCTATAATAAATAAAACCTATATCATTTAAATAATAATAATAATTATATTTTTATCCAATATTTTCTCTAATATATTTTTTTTTTTAATTTTGATGTCATCTCCTATTTAATTATTTAATTTTATATATTTTTTTATAAGTCAAATCCTACTAGCTCTCGTTTTTATTTATTTTTGTAACTAATAACTCCCTCTGATATTTACTATTTATTTCCTTTTAACTTTCCCATTGCCCCACACGCGCGCGCTCTAAATACAAACACAAAAAAACAGAAAATACAAAATAAAAAATATCAAAATCTAATCCATCAATTACAACATCGAAGGCAGCAGCAACAAATACTACATTTATTACACAAAGGCCGCGTCTGCGTGTTGCCTACAAAACAGTCCCTCTCTGCATCTCTCTACCTCTCTCTCTCTTCTACAAACACACACACACAAACATGAACCACTTTCGTTTTCGTTTTCACTGCAAACAGCAAACATGGCCGCCTGGCCAAGAAGTCAATGAACGTGGAAAAGAGAGTGCCCAAGAGAGTGCGAGAGAGTTGGAGTGTGTAATATGCATGTATGTGTGTGTGTGTGCGTGTGACTTTCATAATCTCTCGCTGGCGCTATTTCCTGTAAATATTTTCCGGGCTATGAGCTTAATTTAAACAAATTATTACAAAACTCGAATATAATAACAAATGCAGTCAGCGTAACGAAGAGATAGAGAGAGAGAGAGAGCACAAGAGAGACAAAACATGGCGAGCGACAGAGCGATGGCCTCGCTCTGCTGTCTCCATTATGGATTTAGGTTAAGTGCGTTCATTCAACTTTTAACACAATTTCGAAATGGCGCACACACTTCTTTGCTCTCGATTTATCATGCGGGTGTCTCTGTCTCTGAGTTTTATTGTTTCTCCCTTTGTTGTTCGTCGTTTCGGAGGGGAATTTGTTTAAACAAAATAGACAACTTTTACTTTGCCGTGAAATCCGCGCGCCAAGCTAAATGTTGCAATACGTATACGCACCCCAGCACACTCACACACACACACACACACACTCGTACAGAGCTGAAATTTCGTTCATGGCTGGTCATTGAACTCCGCGAACGAACTTCGTGCGGTGTTCGTGTGAGCTTCGTGTTTGCTTCGTGTGTCTCGTCTCTTGCTGCTGGCTAATATTTGTCTCTGAGCTTGATTTCATTTCGTTCCCCTCCCCGAATTTTGTCTAGATTTTTGCATAATTTTTGTTGTCTTTTTTTTTAATGGCTAATAAGAGGTAACATATGGTTAGAGACTCACCATCGCGACTCATGCCAACGGCAATGCATTTTTTCAGGCGGCAATATTGACAGCGATTGCGATTGATGCGCAGAATGCTGCACTGTTGATTTTTGGTGCAGGGCCGATACTGGATCTTTTGCTGGATGGAGCGTCGAAAGAAGCCCTGAAAGATGGACAAAAAATATAGAACAAAGATTAGAAAATTGTAAACTAATATATTAAATAGTTATTATATATATTTTGGGGATTTTCAAACTATAATTTGGAGTAAATTGTAAAGCAATAAAGTTAAGCTTGTTTTAAGGCTAATTTTTTTCCCCAAAATCCCATATATAAAACCTACATCTGCATCTTCGGTGGCTGATAGTGTGGCTGGCGTATTTCTCTCCGCATTATTGGCACTGCTGCTGCTATTGCTCAGCGCCGTGTCCAGGTTCTCATCGAACTTCTGGCACAGGTAGTTCAGCTGCGAGGAGTCCAGTCGCTGATGATGCTGCTCGCACAGCTCATCGTCGCAGCCCGAGTCCTGCGCCTCCTCCATCTCGTCCAGCTGCTGTTCATCGCTGCTGCTGCCGCTGTTGCAGGTGCAACAATTGCCCGCACTGGAGTTGCTCGAGTTGCTCATCAGCGAGCAGTTGCTATCAGAGCTATCCCTTCGCTGCTGCTGCTGCTGCAGCTGTTGTTGCTGCTGCTGCTGCAACTGATGTTGCTGCTGCTGGGACTGCTGGGATTGCTGACGGAGGAGATTGGCGATCTCCTTGTGTGTTTGCGCGGAAAAGGGACTATCACAGTGCAGCTGCTTGATGTTGCCATTGGGCATAACAGTGGGTTTCACATCTAGTGGTTGCTCCTGAAGCTGTTGCTGCTCTTGGCTGGCGATGGTGGTGGTGGTCTGCTGCTGCTCCAGTTCCCGCTGCTTGAGTTCCCGCGCATAACGGATCTTTTTCCAAGGGCACTGATACTGCTCGTAGCTGCTGCCGCTGTCTTCCAGAGACAACGTAGTGGCGGCGGCTGGGCAATCCTCATCGCTGTTGGGGCAGTCCTCGTCGATGCCCGATTCGCTGTCATTTTTGGCGCTCAGATCGGCACATGGCTTTGGTGTTGCAGGTTGTGGCTGTGGCTGCTGCTGATGTTGCAGCAGCAACACAATCTGCTGCTGCTGCTGACTAATACTATTTGTTGTCTGCGTGTTTTTGCTGGTGTTGCTGTTGGTGGTTGTCTTTACTAATGTTGCAGGTGTTTGCTGTTGCTGTTGTACGATTGCTGCTTCGTTTTTCAGTCTTTTGCGTTGCGGTTGCTGCTGCTGTTGCTGCTGCTGCTGTTGTTGTTGCAGGTAAATGATTTGTTTGGGCGTCTGCTGTTGCTTGCTGATGGGCGCCGACTCCAGCAATTTGACCAAAGCCGAGTGCTGCTGCTTCAGCTGTTGGCTCTTGACCTGCAGCTGCTGCTGATGCTGATGTTGCTGCTGCATTTGCTGGTGCTGCTGCGGTGCGGCCACAATGTGCAAATTGCCGCCGCCATTGCCCGTCAGCAACACTATCGTTGTGGCATGTTGCTGTGGCGTCTGCTGCGACGTCTGCTGCTGTTGCTGCTGCTGCTGCTCTTGCATTGCACAAACCATTTTAGAATTAGAGATTTTGTTTGCTTTTTGGCTTCAGAATGACACTTGAACTCTCGATTGTTGGTTGCTCTACGATTTGCTAATAAGGAACATTGCACACACTTCACTTAGATCTCACTTCACTGGCACCAACAAAAATAATTGCTATTATTTGCTATTGAACATGTGTTGCTGTTGGCTATCTCTCTCTCTTAAGCTTTCTTTCGCTTGATTTATTTAAATTGTGATTATGATTTTTCGCGCGCTTTTGCTGCTCGATACAACCGTTTCCAACGACGAGCAATTTGCGAATGAAAGCAGCGCCAGCGTCCAGCGAGCAACACAAAGCTACCCGCAGCAGCAATCTAGCCAGCCGAAGTTCGTTTCGGTTGCTCGTGCGACTTCGGGTTTCTCTCTAGAGAATCTCTCTCTTTCAGTCTCTCTCTCTCTCTCTCTGGTTGTTTCTGTCGTTTTGTGTGTTTTTGTTTTTGTGTGCCAACTGAGGACATTCACTCCAAAGCGTCGACAGCGACGCTAGCGTCTAACAATAGATGTTGCTGCTGCTGCTGTTGCAGCGGGGGCGCCTGGTAAACAATTCTTGGAACACCCACGCGACACCCTGATTTCCCAGGTAGCCCAGGCATCTCAGGTAGCTGCCACTGCCACCTGACTGATCAGCTTTGTTTGATAACAACAGAGGGGCGTTGAGCGTTCAGTGTTCGATTGTGTATTGTGTTTGCTCGTGTTCCGATATAAATGAGTGACAAATAAGATTAATTGATATGGGGGCGCTGTGACAGGCCTAAGAGGATCCCAGATCTGGAGCGATGGCTCCCGCACACAGACTTATTTTTGGGGTCACCAAAGCGAGGGATGGGGGTGTTCTTTCCAGATATTTTTTTGGGTAGATTAAAATATTGATAATGGAATAAAAGTATCAAAAGTAACTTCTTTTTTACCTTTCAAAAATTGAAAATATATCTTGCCAGCTGTTGCCATCCGTTTTTTTTTTATTTTTTAATTAACAAATATGACCTAAATTGTAAGACAATCCCCGCCTAATTAACAAAATGCAAACAATTCGCTTGAGCAAATATTTTTGCCGCAATCGTTTCCCCAGTTCGATGAACTCCATCCAGAGTGCGGGACCAGATGATTTAATAAATGTATTAAATAATATTTTGTGCGCATTGTCATTTTGCTGTTCGCTTTTTTTGGGGCCAAATAATGCACACACACAATACGCTCACTCCGTCCCTTTCCCACACTAGCTACGTAACCAAAAAGCCCCCAAAACGACGTCAGCAGCGACGCGGCCAGCGACGGTGACGGTGACAGCGGCAGCGACTGAGACTGAGGCTGCGGTGGTTCAGTTCAACGAACCCGCCATCGCCATTGTCGTGACCCACATTTCGGTCAGCCACCTTCGAATGTGGAGCTGCCGAGCGAGAGAGAGCTACATTCGCAGCCGAACGCGGCCGAACCCCAACGCCAGCCCGAAGTCGAACGAAAGAGCGATAGGCGAGCGAGAGAGCTCGCCCCAGAGCATTTTGCATGCAAATTCGCTTGCAGTTCATATCGACGCATTTTCGCGAAAGTATCGTATGTCGCTTTTTTCGAAATTGAGATTTTAATGCAAAATTGTTGGTCACCTAATGTCTCACTACCCTGTGAAATATTATAACTGAAAACCTTATAGTTCCGATAAAAATTAAGTTTCAATTTTGTCTTTTCTATAGTGCTTCCTAAGAGATTAAAGCACAAAAAAGCTTCTCCTGTAAAATTGCATTTTTCGACATACGATACTTTCGCGAAAATGCGTCGATATGTTCTCTTGTTTCTTTGGCTTTGCTTGTTTTTTTTTTTTTTTTTTTTTGCTGCAATTTTTGAGCTGTGGCGGTCGGTCAACGACACAGAAACCTCAGGTGGGCTTGGCTTCAAACGGGAAGGGGGCGACTGTGAGGAGGGAGTGTCGAAATGCGTCCAAGGAAATCTTTGGCAATTAAAAAATTTGCAAACATATTTTTTGCCGAATTTTTACGATTTTTATAATCGGAGATTTTCTGAAGCTGGGGAAAAGCCGAGGTCATTGTACTCACTGGTGGGGGAGGTGAGTGAGTCAAGAGATTTGCACTCATTTCAATGCTGCAGCAGCAGCAGCAGCAGCAGCAGCAGCAGGGAACTTTCGGGAACAAAACAGCTGTCCCACTTCTCTCCCGCTCGTAACAGCTCCACCTCTGCCTCTCTCTGGCTCCCTCTCTGTGTGGCGCTCTTTCTCCCGGTGGCGTGGCCAAATGTGAATGAACTCTGGTGGCAAAGCGAATAACAAGTTTCAAAAGAAAGTGAGAGCACTTCCACGCACACAAGCACAGGGACATGGCTCGTTCTCTGCTCCCCATCTCTCTCTCCCTCTCTCTATGCACATCTATCTCTCTCTATCCCCATATGGCCCTCTCTTCTTCGTCGGTTCCCCACATTTTTTGATCCGCAACGTCATTTTATAATTCATTCTTTGTTTGTTTGTTAAATAATTTCTTTTTGGGCTCTGCTTTTGGCACATTTGTTGGTAATATTGTTTTTAATTTTTTTTTTTATTTGTTTTGGGTTCTTTTCATGAATGGTTCTATGCCGCAGGGTGTTCTTTGTTTATTTCGCCGCCTGTATAGTTTTTTTTTTTTGCGAAACCGCCTACCTGTTGGCACGATCGCCGCTCCAACTGCTTGACCAAGATTTCTGTTCTGTTTCGGTTCTTTTGCATTCTTTGTTTTGCTTTCAGGTTTATTTTTTTCGGGGGCTACTGTCAGAACTTGACACGAATTCGAACGATCGATCGATTGATGGTCGATCGTCCCAGAAGAGCTGTTGAGCAGGTCCAAAAATATTCATGGGAAATCAATGGAAAGCGTGTATAAATTGGTGTTGAAATTTTGTGATCTTATGGATCTCTGGTTTGCCTGATATGTTTATATTATAAAGTTTTATGTTGCAGAAATAAATTAATTATTTAATCACTTGAAATTTCCGAAAAATATATTATACAAATTCGAGTTACTTTCCCGAATCTATTGGAAACTTCCCCACCGATCTTCTATGGCCACTTCTATCTTCACCTCTTTCTTTCTCCGCCATTTCCTTGTGTTCTCTTTAGTGCGTCAACCGCCCACATATATAAAGAACAAGAAAAGAAGAATAAGAAGACAGACAATACCTAATCTCCTGTCATAACGACGATCGTTTGTTGGGCTTTCAGAACTCCCCATTCTTTCTTCAGTTTTCTTTATGGGGGGGACTCACTCGATGCGTCAGCAATTAGCACGTGCCCGGGTTTTGAGACTCATTTCGGGGTCTTCAAATCCGATCCGGAACTTTATGGCGCTTTAGCTTTACAGTTCATTCAACGCTCGTTCGTCAAGCTCGTCTTGAGGCTTATTCGACAGTTGCTCATAAGTCAACGAGGGCGTTACAGTCGAATTTCGATAATATGAATGATGTTTTTTTTTTTTGTTTTACTTTGAGTGAGGAATTAATTTATACTAAAAATGTAAAATATAAATAAATAAAGTAGGACATCATGCAGAGCTTGGCAATTTATAAACCACTAAAAGTAGCCTCAAAAAGTATGCTACAAAATTTTAAAACTCACATTTTTTGGCATATTTTTGCAAGTGAAACATTCTAAGGATACTTTTAGACCTTTATTTTAGATATTTTAAATTAAAAGCAATTTCTGTGGCATGCCTTTAAGAACTAGAGGACTTTCTCGTTAGAGAAGTCCTACTGTAGATTAATACTTGCTGCTGGCTGCCCAAAAAGTGTGATATGATGTGTAAATAAATTATGTTCGAATTACAACCGTTCGACCTGCGCCTGGCCGCCCATTCAGGTCAGAGGTCAACGCCCCCAGCCAAGCCACCAAGGATAATTCACCCCTCTCACTCACTCACTTGCCGTATTCCTTTTCTCCCAGCTCTCTTTCTCCCTGTTCTGTTTCTCTGTAGTAAAAGCAACACGAGGTCAGCCGCACGTAGGCACAAAAAAGGAGGAGTCGCAGTCGCACTCATCCTCTCCCACAACAATCCTCCCACTCCCCCCCAGTGCACACACACTCGCCATTTGGCCTCGCGCTCATTGACGTCACTTCTGCAGTCGCTGTCTCTGCCGCTGCGCTGCTTGGCTCAGTTCGTTCAACTCGGTGCCTTCATGGTCGCCTTGCAATAGTTGTTATTGTGCTATTGCTATTGCTATTGCTTTTGCTATTGCTTTTGCATTCGCCTGCCTTTGCTTGTTTGCTGTTGGCTTTGGTTTTGCAAGGGGATTGGAGTGGGGGTATGTGGCCCAGTAAGCAATTTGTTTAATTTCAGAATAAGTATTGATAATATTTAAAACTAATATTGGGTAATACTATATTTTATTTATTTGATAATTTTGTGTTCCAAATTTTTATTAATAAATTCTCTTGCAATAGAAAATCAAAACTTACACCATATTTTAACAACTACAAAAAGTTTCTAGAGAAACAACACCAATTTCTTCACTTCAAGACCTATAATTTGTTTGCTTAAATAAACACAACCTAAAACCAATATCTACGACCCTTATTTCCTTTTCCCCACATCAATCAACATAATTAAGGCATTTTCGGGGTGGCCATAGTACACAGATTAACTTCCATTTCTGTGGCTAAACCATTATTTAATGCGTTTCCCACTCTGGCGGCTAGCAAATGGGACCGCAAAAGCCACAAAACTAACGATGACAAATCAGAAATCAACACAATACAAAACCAATATTGGAGGAGTCCGGAATTGGAGCCACAAACACAATAAAACGGAAATACCTTTCACATTTCACATTTTGCGCCAGCGAAGGGCAAACTGCAGCAGAAAGAGTGAGAGATAGAGAGAGACCAAGAAGGATAGAGAGAGCGAGTGCAAGGGATATTGCGACAGCATCTGAGCTCCCGAAAAAGGCAGCAACAAAAGCAAAGCACACACCAAGGCGACCGACAATTGAGGACATTGCACTGCAATAACCTTAAAGAAAATGGTATCAACACAAAGAGAGAGAGAGAGAGAGGGAGCAGTGGGGAGCAAAAGAGAACGGGCGCTCTCTTGACTTGGCGCTCAGCAAGCGCTTTTTTTGCATAAGCAAAATATGCACTAGAGGAGGGGGGGGGATTCTTGGGTTCTATTTGTGTGCCTAGGAACAGTTGTACTCTTTCTTTATGGCGAAGAAGAATAAGGAGAAGAGGCGGAGAGTCGGTGAGGAAGTGACCTCAGGAAGGAAATGCATTGCATTTAATTGGTCAAAATGGGCAGGTGGTGCTATATACGACCACCTGGTTGCCATAGGAATTCAACTAAAAAGGTAGATGAGTCAGGAGAGAGGATTTTCTTAGGTTTTTTATAATATA